AGGCCACTCATGGAGAGCCAATGGGGATCAATGACTACTACCCCTTAAATAGAGAGGCTGCGAGCAGAACGAGACTCTGTGGCCCCAGACGAGAGACGTGCTGCAGACGAAAACGCCGTGACGCAACCAGAGACAACTTGCTGGCGAACACGGGACAAGTCGACTAACACGTGCAGAGTTGATGTTTACGCAGGAATTGTTATAGTAAACTATTCTCGGCTATCCTCTCTGTCTTCTCTTCCTAACACGTACTGGGGGACATAACCAGTGTTAATACAGGAACACACTCGGTTACAACAGTGGAAATGCTGTCAGCTGTAGCAGGTTCGTACAACAAGTACAACCACACTCAGTGAAGTGTTGCTTTTTGATCGATTGCGAAACCTAAATTGTAGGCGAAGGAAATAAGACTTAAAAGTACTGCTATTTTTTGTCATTTTCTACGCAATTTGAGATTAACAGCATATGCCTGCTGTCGGTCTGAGCGTGAAAACCATTAGAGATTGACCCGCGTGCGAACGAGGTTCATTGCTGATCGCTGAGTATTATAGTACGCAGTCCTGTGCAAAGGTTGTGCACAGTGGACCGCTGGTCTTTCAATGATTACTTGTCATCTTACAGAGACTAAAGTGGTTAGTGTATGAAGGCTTCACAACTAAGCGGCAGTCATGCCCTAAAATAGATAGGGGGACTCCCAGCCCCAGTCAATACAAGTTTTTGCATATTATCTATCAGAAGGAGTTTAATCCTACAAGTTGAAAACGCAATAACTCTCCAAAGCAGGCGTAAATACTGATTTATCAGTTAATTGAGTGTTTAAATGTGGTAACAACGTTGCTGATGAGGATGCAGACAGGGATCTTGCTCCTAGTTTCTTTTTTATTCCAATAAAGTGGAAACCAATGCAGTCTTATCTACTGAGGCCTTTTTGGGCACATTCTGAAAGGGCGCGATTGCAGGAGTGTTTTCAAACATCATCTGATACAACAAAATTATAGACATGAAAACACTTGCCGGCGACATCTGGCGGAGGCGCTGCGGCGTAATGGATTGACCTGGACGCGTTGATTGTCAAGGGAATTCCAGTAGGTGTGCTGATCGTTGCCTGACAGGTATACTCCCCGGTGGTGTACTCATTCAGTTCACGGATGCTGAGGCGCTGACCCTCCGAATGATAGCGTCCCTTGAAGTACCAGGTGAGGCGAACAGGATAAGGCGGTTGTGGTTGCAAGCGGCAGTCAGCATAGTAGGGTGAGCCTCGTGCAGGTCTTTCGGTCAGCGGAATAATACTCACCCAGTAGGTTTGTGGAGCTTGAAAGTAAACAGAACAGAAATGACTGGAAAAATGTGATTCTACTTCAAAGTATTGCCTTCCAAATGTAGATCTAGTCCTTCTCTGTTCGATAAACGCACATAAAAAACAGGGGCATTTCGAATATGCAACAGCGGGCTCATGTCTAAGCTTGTTTATATCTATCATCAGCAGATATAGGGAAGGTGGAGGGTGTATGGCCAATTATTTTCGCGAAGTGTAAAAAGCACATTTTTGGGCCTACTTAGCGCTGCTGTTTGATGGAAATGAAGCTATTTACATGTTCTAGGAAATACCTAAAACAACAGCATTAACTTACCAGGGTTACGAACGGGACGCGAAGAAGTGTACCGAAGGGTAATAGTCGCGTTGCCCTCAACAGTCGAACCACCCATCGGCCTGAATCGTGCCTCACAGGTGTAGTCACCGGCACTGTCCTCAGTGAGTTTCGGAATGCTGAGACGTTGGCCGCGGGAGAAGGCACGATCTTGGAAGTACCAAGTATAGTCCGCCGGCACAGTGGGTGGAGGTTCGATGCGACACTCCGCATAGAATGGTTGATTGTGTTCCATTTGTTGAGTGAGTGGGACAATGCTCACTTGTCCCTGTACTGAAAGGAGAAAAGGGAGACTGAAACAAGCCTGTGTGAGATTGGTGTGAATTCTTATTTCTCTGACGGGTGGCGCGTATGCAGCCTAGGTCATTGTGGCCAAATTCGAAGAAACAATTGGTTTGGGGATTATTTTATCAACAAAATAGAGCACTCCCTGCTTGCACCACTTTAGCTACAATTATTACTTTTTAATGTTTTTCTAGAAATTCGTCTGTTTTGCTTTTTTCTCTTTTTCGTGCAAGATTTATTTTCCTCTTTTTAGGTCTTGATAAATCCTCTTAGTGTGGACGTCTTCATCTGCGGGCACCTGAGCCTAGCATTAATTTATAGCTTTCTTGGAAATTTCCTTATTATTGTTTATTTGACTGTATCATCTGAAGGCCTTCTTTAAATCCCTAGCTCTGTACTTCTGAGTACATATTGTATATGCGATTATTTTGTTAACAGACAGATATCGTGCGCGGGTGCTTTGACAACCCTGTTCTGCTTATTTTCAGTAGGTTCGTCTCTATTTCTTTATTTGCACTGAAAGATCCGAGTGAAGTCTTCCCTGATCTTCTAATAAATATATAAGCTTGTCTTCTAAAGAGCTATGTCAAAGGTAGAAGAATCATCAGGAGAGCACCTTCTAATTATGAACGCTTCTTACTTCCCAATTTAAGCAGGAAATGTGTTTTGCAGCTTTCAAATATTGTTACTTGGAAAAAAAACAGAAAAGTATTTTAGAGATTGCCTTATGCTGCAAGACGAAAGGGGTTTTACTTTTAATGTGTTCACAGCGGTCGTCTTTATGGGTTCTTTAGTGTATTCCCCTCTTCTATACTTAACTTAGAGTTCAGAGGAAGTTGGTCTGCAAGATTGGAATGCATTGATGAGACAAGCTCTGGCGAGTTATTTTAGTAAATACTATGCAAATTAGGAGTTTGTTTTGCTTATTACCTACCTACTGTTCATATAAGCTAGGCGAGCACAATCGTTTTATATACTATAATTAGAAAGTCGATTTAGCGTGCTACCAGGAAAAATGGTATAAAGAAGCCGAAACAAATATTTCGCTGACACTTTCGTTGCATGAAACAGCATCGAGGAGTTAGTCTCAGAATTGAGGCCTGCAACCCATTTAGTTTGATTTCTGTTGGTATTCGAGTTTTCGTATTGAAGTCCTCACTTTAGGTTATATGCTCTAACCATCGTCCTTTAAAAAGCCTGGTAACTATCAGGGAGTGGATAAGAGAAAATGCTAGGGACAGTTACTTATAAATAATGCAAATACACTACGGACAGTTACTACGCCAATCATAACGGAAGAGAGGGTTTTAATGGAGGCTATACTCAAGTAGCGGAGTATTGACCGGACCGCTCTGTGACATGTCTAATGTGAATTCTTCAACGAGGGGTTATCGCTTTTTAACCATGTCATTAATTCACTTTACAAAAGGACAGGAAACGAGGATGTGACAGCAAAAGGTGCTCTCATAACAGAGTAAACGTCATGAAATCGATGGGTTTTTTTACATTAAAAATGTTCGTGCATGCACGAACAGCAGCGCTTAACTGATGCCTAAAATACTCCGTTCGAATGTCTACGCCGGTATTTAAAACTTGTGCAAGATTAGGAACGAAGAAATCCCTTTTTTGGGGATGTATTTTGACTTTTCTTATTTGCACTACCTAATTCGTTACTGCCGACCAGCCCCAACTTAATGCATTTGTACCATCTTTTCTGTTAAAACATGTTCTGCGCCCTCGAGTTCAGTCTCTATAGATAATTGCATTATGCACTCTAATTCACTTGGGTTTTGCTAGCTATTACACCAGTTGCATCGCACTTATTATGAAAATTTACCCGAGCCGTCTGGTAGTCTGCTTGTGTAGTCGACATTTCTCGTCCCATTGGAAACGGATTGTGCTCCCGAGGGCGTTTCGATGGTCGCCTGGCAGGTGTACTTGCCAGCTGTGAGGTCGTTTAATTGAGAGATTCTCAGCCGCTGGCCCTCTGAGTGGTAACGTCCCTTGTAATACCAGGTGTAACGAACAGGGTAGCGAGGCCTTGGTTGAATGCGGCATCCTGCGTAGTAGGGTGCCCTGCGTTCAATTCTCGGTGTCAGTGGAATGATGCTTACCGAGTAGGTCTCCAGATCTACATAAAGAGTACTAAGGTTTGCCCTCGAAAATGTTAAAAGGGAAATTTGGCTTGCAAAGAGCCGTTGTAACATCTTAGATAGGCAGGTTGGGGACAAATCCCTTTGTTATACTTACTGTTTGCCTGTCCTACAGGGCGACGCCCTGTGGCTGCGTGCTGTCTCCGGATGTTTTATCCAGGTAAGTCTGCATTTTTTACTGCCACAATGCGTCTGATAAGGCCCGCAAAGGTTCAGTATTATCCCGTTCAATAAGAAATGCGTTGGAGGTTTTTGCTGCAACCACCGCTTCCATCTTATTCACGAGTAGAGGTTTCCGGTTGTGCGATCAATGAACTCAATAGTAGATGTCTCAAAGGCCCGTGGTAAACCAACATCCTGACCATCACTCAGATATGAATTCGCGGTTTCCTGGCCAGCCGACCGTTACAATGAAGCTAAAATCAATTGCTTTTAATTTTAATTGGAAACTCTCTTCAGGCAGGTTACAGGCACTGATCCCATTTCTTTGTAAAAGGTATCAATGATAAGTCCTGTCCTCGCGGCCGGTCTTTATCTAGGATGCAGTAACAACCCTCACGAGAATGCATACGAAATTGTTAGCTCATCGTCATGAAGTGTTTAACCACTTGTCTGCAACAGAATGACAATCGATCGACAGCTACAGTTCATGTCCAAGCGACTCCATAAGTGCCCAAGGCTACTAGGCCAGTAGTTAAAATGTTTGACACTGACACTGGTAGCTATATCAGAGTCGGCCATGTTTTTGCAAAACCAGATACGATTTATTTTGGCAAACGAAACTAAAAATAGATAGGCTGTTGCGTTACCTCTGAGTGCTTCTGTCTAAATGCGTGGACACTCTGCCTGGAAGATAGCTGTGCCGAATCGAATGACCCGAAGGATACTGCACTTAATACTTAAAATGAGCCGTTGTGACATACGAAACATCCGGTAAAAATGCACTATCTATAAAATGACACAGTGGACAAAACTGAAATAACTAGTCAATTTCAGTATCGTAGCCTGCCCTCTGTAAACAGACACAATGAATACGACTGATTTAAGAATGGCCACAGGGTCTAACGCTCTTCAAAGGATGTCTAAAGCGAAAGGCGCTATCAAATCTGAAGATACACTAAACCAACAACTCGCCCGTAACAGCCATTCAAAAGCCAAAGTTAGGCAAAGCTTTGGTAACATCACGCATGTGCAATATACAGGACACCTAATGCATCATTTGAGTGCATCTAGATAGAAGACGTTCATTCGCTAGAGTAGTATAAAACCGCAGAAGTGACCAGTTAGAGTTCCACTATGAAAGTTCTAGTAGATCGCATCACTTGTTTCGTGCAGGTGTTGACGACACCTACCGTCCCTCTATTGGCACCCATCTCTCAATTTTTGTTCCCCGAAGCTAGGCTCTGTGTAGTGACAACACCCTAGTAACCACCTCAAGCGACGGGTTAAACGAGATGAGGCCAGTTGGTGTTGTGTGTCTTCATACCTGGTATTTCAGCTCCCCCTTTCCTTCCTATCATTAATCCCTCCCTTTCCACTCTCTGAAAGTCTTGCGGAGAAGGCGACATGCAGTCCCGGAGGCTGTCCAGACCATCTCCCGTTGCTCTTCCAATACTCGACAGTTCAGCCGTCGGCTTCGACGAAGTCAGCCGTATACTTCGTTGCAGGGTGGGACGTTGACTTGTGCTGCAGCTACCGTATGTTCCACTCCCCTGCGCTCGGTGTTAATACAGAGTCAAGAAAACCGAAGGGGGGAGAGGGTGTAGGCCCCACTCACTGTGAGCCACCAAAAACAAGCAAAGCACAGCAAAAGGGGAAGCAGCTTGGATCCCAGCTAAGTCACTGTAGCCTGCTTCTCCGTTTTCCAGTCAGTGATTCTGCACAAACACATCGGGCAGGCCACATGGTCCGATTTACCCCGTCAGTTGGTAACCTTTCATGTCACGGCCTTAAGCGCACGAAAATGCCTTTATCATTATGACCGTTACACTTCAATTGAAACGTTCCTCATAGGACTCCAATTTATTTTCTTTTGAATCTGCTTAAAAAAGCCAACCTTAGCGCCCACGGGAATGTCCAGCATGAGTTTTTAATAGCTAGTTAGTTTAAAATCCATTCAATTCTATTATATCAGCCAGATGCATTTAAAATATTTAGTTCCTAATCTTCAGCACTACAGTACTTACTAGAATCAGATTAAGTCGAAGTGCCAATTTGTTTGAATAGACTATTTAAAAGAGGGGTTGATGATGAGATAATACAGCTTAGATTGGGGCATTCACAGATTACAGCGCTCTGTATAGTATATCAGCAGGCCAACTAGCCTGGAGGGCCACACTTACCTGGCTGTTCTAGCGATACGGGCTGGTATTGGATGATGGCTCTTGCCTGGGCAACGAGTGGAGTGCCTGAGGATGTGTGAATGTTGGCCTGGCAAGTATACTCGCCGATAGTGTGCTCGTTAAGTTCTGGAATACTCAGGCGTTGACCCTCCGAATGGAAACGTCCATTGAAGTACCAGGCAAATTCAATGCGATCCCGAGGCTGCGGTTCAACCCGACATTCTGCATAGTAGGGCGCATTAAGCTCGATGGTTCTCGTCAGCGGAACAATACTAACCCTGTACGATTTGGCTTCTAGAAGAAAAAAATGAGTGAATGGTTACAAACCTCCTGTTATCAACGTAACATTATAGTTAATCACCCAGTATGGAATTATTATGGGGCACATATTATGAATCGATAACACAGAGCAGAGTGTATATGCCCGGTTTGATATATCCCATGTTAACATACTCGACTAACACTTAGTGATATAAATGATCAACTTAACGCAAATGCTGTCAAGCTACAAGTTCAGTATGCTTTTACCAGTATGATCACAATCTAACAGCGAGAAAAATATATTTTCCTAACTTTCAATAGAGACGTTAATCGGCATGTTAGGCGTTTGGGTAGGAGGAAAGGTTCTCTTTAGTAGCTAAAATTCGGCAAAATGCTGTTTTGATCTTGTTAAGATTCTTCCCATAATACATAGATTACGCTACCAATCTCAAATGCACTGATGTTCCGTAATAAAAAAATTAAACTGCAATGAAACTGGAAGCCAAATCAAAACAAAAGGCAAAAGATACAAATTCTTTGTCAGACAACCCTTGTAATATCTCGGTCTTTATAATTTCGACACAACATTTCTTGTGCAAAATTTACTTTACTCGAAGGTCAAAACGTACTAGGGCTTTTTAGAGGTTAGCTTAGTCAGTAGTGCAGTGGTAAACATCAATTTAAAGCAGAAAATGTGACCTAGCCATGTGCAACGCAAACAGTAAAAAGTGAGGCTTCCTTGTGAATACGCATATATGTATGTATGTGGAGTAGATGGTCTACGAAATGTCGTGGATTAGGCAATAAATGTCATGTTGCGCGAAGTCAGCACACGCATCCTGCCCCCAAACTATTATAGCAGTAAAGTAAGAACCATAAGTACATGGAAGCCATAGGTTGGTTGACAAAGTACAATTTACTAGCATAAAAATATTTAATTTTCACAAAAATCTGAACACTCAGGTAATGACTACATGAGGAGTCACTGATCCAATGTGAAATGTAGATATTTATAGGCATCGGGTTTAAAAAATGTCAAAGTAATAATCAAATTCATACCATCTTGTGTATATTGAACGACATTTCCCTTTGCCACATTCCTTTGTAAGCATTTCGAGAGTTCGAATGCGGCGAGCTGCAGATTGTTCTCGAAATTCTGCTTAACACTTTGCAAATTTCAGTGTTTTTTTTCGTTTGTCCCTAAATACTGATTTCGTTTAACCTATTAATGAAATTCCTTGGATATCTACAAACGATAGATATGGCCCCATTTGTCCCCTGTTTGCCCCCAGTATACTGGTCTGAATCGAACTCTTTGCTAGTAAACAGCATTTTGCACCTCAAGTCAACCCAATTAGCAAAACAAACAACCTCAACTATGTGTTAAATCCTCCGCTCAAATTCTGATCTTCACCTTTCATCAGATATGCAATTTACTGTATGTATATATGTGCATTTTGCAATTACTTGAAAATTATACGTTTGAGCTCTTCATGTGTTTCTAGTAAAATGATTGTAAAATCGCAGTTATTTCTAAACATAAAATTTTCCCTTTAAGGTCGCTACAATACTTAAGGTTCAGAATTTACAGACGGAACAACTTAAAAAGAGATCAACTTCATTTATGTCTGGTTACCTGTCAAATTTTAACCAGTACTAATACAACACTTAATCATTAACTGTGACCACTTCACTCTATTTCTGAATGCCTTGTAAATGAAATGGCGCTAATTCGGCCTTCTTGAACATAAATTCCATCAAAAAACTACCGTATACGCTCTTATTCGGTTGAGGCATCACATTTTATTTTTGTTAATTCCTATTTAGCTAATAGCACTGTTTTCAAGCTGTGTTAAACTCTTAACAAAGCCGAGACATTTACTGCTAGACACAAAACATACTACATTGTTTACAGTCAAATTCCGACTAACTTTATAATATGTGGTAAAATCCTTTTACTTATAATACTTTTACAGGAGGCTTTGACATTACTCGTTGTTTCCTAAGATAAATCTTGTGTTCTGGTTACCTATTAATTAAAAAAAATCAAGTGACAGCAAATGAGGGCTTATAATATGTAAAAAGTGGCTGGTTATCATTTATAATTGGCCCTTAATTTTAGACTAACGGGCATGATTAATAAGAATTGTGTTAACTGACAAAACAGAGTTTGTCTTGTTAATGGAAAATATGATAAAGGTGTAGCGAAAGCTGCAGTAAGTACCTGAACAATAGGTCGATTCATGGTACAACTATCGGGTGGTACAGGAAAAAAGAGCACCAGTCTTTGTTAATTCATTCTTTAATCAACGTTTT